TTTTTCCAAAGCCTCTGACATGCATCTTGCTCAATAAGGCCCCAAAGCTCAAGAAGCAGAGCTCCAAACTGGGTTATAGCCAATATTTATCAAATCATACTAATAAAATTGGTCTAACCATTTTCTTCCATCTAACCATTCCCTATTAATTGCAAGGGCAGAGAGACAGGGAGGCAGTATGTGAAGACAATGTATATTTAACAGAAAAGGGCATTCTACACTGATGCAACTATTATTCAAATAGACTCAATCTGATGAGCCAAGAAAAAGCTGCCTCTGCACAAGCCAGGACTCTCCAGATACCTGGGTGATTAAGTTACTTCAGAAGGAATTAGTGCCCCATGAACTGATTGCACCATAAATAACCCCAACGGGGAACAGAAGTCCCTGACGGAGGCAGTGTCTGCTGACAGCCTCTGTCCTCCACAGCGCTCACAGCACCAAACACTGCATGTTCCAAGAGGACGTTTGTCCCTCATTTCCTCAAAATTCCCCACGTATTTCAAGGCAGGCACAATCTCTACATCCTGGCTCACCGCAGGAACGTGCTTCCCTTTTCCCTGGTCACCCCAACACAAGTTACAGCTCTTTCCTGGCCCAATCCTCATTTTGCTCTTTTGGAGCAGCAGCACAAAGCTTGGTGAGGGCAGCCGGGGCCTGCGGCAGCTGCTGCTCTGATAGCAGGGGCAGGCACCAGCTCCACAGGTAACTGCACCTGAAGTCAGAAGGATCTTCCTAGTCACACTGAAACAGCAAGTTCACAGGGCAGAAAATTAAGTTGCCTTTAATGGACTGTAGGTTCACGGGTTACTAAAAGAAAGCTTTGATCACAAGAAAACTGGCCATGGTATCAAGACACACCTCCAAAAAGGCTTCCGTTTTCTCTCTCTTTTTAAATTGAGCTCTTCAGGTCAAAAACATTTACAACCTCTGTCAAGTGAGAATTAATAGCCAGCAAGAATGCAAGTGTTAATAACCTGATGTTGTTAATAACTTGATGCTGTGCTTTTATACTTAAAAAGGAGAATTTCTAGTGCTTGCAAGTCGTATTCCCCTGCCCATTGCCTCAAGCACTTTAGAAGGTCTCAAGTGCCAAGTAAACTAATCCAGGAATTTCCTACCTACTGCTACGATGGGATTAATTGATGTTTCATGAGTAATCCAGGGAATCCTAAAGGGCTAATGTCAACCTCAACCTCCTACGCGGAGTAAGGGATCACAGAGATACGGAATGCCGGGAAAACAAATGTGAAACGACCCGAGTGAGTGAAGACCCAAGCGTGTTTGCACAGAAGGAACGTGTTACTGAGCAGCCTCCTGAACCAAAGGGGAGGTTTGTGGGAAGAGGGAGCTCTCTGCTTGGCAGAGGCTGGGATCAGTGTTATTTATACACCTCTTTTTTACTAAGATCTGTAAGAAAACCATACCACGTTCAGATGTTATTTTGCACAAGTATTAAGCTGGTTTTGTTTTCAGTTACAAGCACCGCTTCGTCTGCCAGATACATGTGCCCATTTAATCCTCCTTTTCTCCCCCCGCGAAAAAACCACCACAAACACATGCACACAAACACCCACAGGGGTTTTCGCAGACCATATGAGCAGCTTCGATGACAGTCTTCCTCTTTGTCAGGAGGCTGAAGTCAGTGCATTCATTTTTTTCAGGTTAAAGGCATACCCGCATACAGGAATAAGAGTGTGAGACTTTCAAGCATCCTTCCTTACAATAATATCGATTTTGTCTCTGTTGGAAAGGTCCATTTTCAAACAAGCATCCTGAATTTTGGGAAAAAAGACAAAAAAACTCCTACTGGTGCCTAAGCAGAGATTTGACAAAAAGGCTTTAAAACCAAGTGTGTATTGTTGAAGAAATGTATGCTTATTTTAAACATTTGCTGCAAAAAAAAACCCTTTCTACTTGTTACCCTGTGTAGAGCTTCCTCCCAAATATCCCCCCATGCAACCAAGGAGGGGAAACGGCTCTAAGTCAGAGAAAAAAACCAATACTCCAGTGGCACCAACAAGAGGCACTGATTCATGTGTAATTATCACAGCTAAATTTGCTGCTGAAGCCATTGCTGCTCCAGCTGGCCTTGACACCTGCATAGCAGGGACAGTGGGACATGACAAGCATCCTCTTAAGATCTGCTGCAGTTTCCAGGCTGGCAGACTGACTTAAACTGGCAACAGCATCTGTTAAGGGCCCCAAAACCACATTAGCACTAAATCAGGGGGGTACCCACCTTCTTCACACCTTACCCAGGCCACAGCAAGCAGCAACACACAGAGAGCGCCAGCGTTTCTGCCACCCATGTTAAAAATCAACCACCAAATGGGCATTGCTTCCCCCAAGAATGATTTTTCTTTCTACTTGAGGATTTATTTTATAAAGAGACAGAAAAGCACAGCAAAACGGAAAACTCGCCTCTGACAAGTCACAAGGAAGGACGTACGGGAAGGAAATTTGTTAATATCCTGTGCAGTGGAAGTTGCCACTGTGTTTTCTTCCCTAAAAAAGGGCTAGGCTGAAAGACTGAGCACAGAACAAAGATCCTGGTGTCAAGTTGCACATTATTTTCCAAGAACAAAGCAGCGCTCGCTCTCTCGCCTCAATTTGTCTGTGTTTCTGGAATGTTTTACAAAAGCCTGATGCAGAAGCCTTTCCTAATAAAACTTAGAAAGCAGAGCTAAAATCAGATGTCAGAAAAGCCTGTGAAAGTATTTTAAGATGTAAGTGTCCTTTCTTGCACATCTGAACTGCAATCCACTGCACCACCGTTCTGGCACACGGCCACAGCCTTGGACAACAACATAAATACACAAAAGCTCTTTTGTTGGGGTTGAGAGAAAAAGCGAAATAGGACATTCAACCTGACATACCTACCCAAATCCAAATCCCCTTAAAGGAGGGACTTTAATGTCCCAGACCCTATGCTGTCTTGGTAAGGGCACTAATTTGTACAGCAGGTATTTTGTCTACGCTACGATAACAGCACAGATGAACATTAACCAGATACCTTGTGGTGTCTGGCAGGTGTTTAAACATTTTCAAACTCAAACACCACAATAATGCCTGAACTACAAATGCTTAAGATTATTCCGTGAGAGCATGTGTAAGCTTCCACCAACTACATAAAATGTAGGATCTTTTATTCCATTTTAAGCAACCAATGCACGCAGAGATACAACAGGCCTTTCTTTTCCAAAGGTAATCTCATCAGCAAGATTTAACAAAGTTTCATTCTGAAAGCAGGACACTGAAACATGTTTATAGGAAGTTTTAAACCAAGAGATTACATATTTACACACACTATGAAGCAGCTGTACAATCAAGAACGCCACATAAAAGCACAGCTCTGGTATTCTATATTTTGATAAGTTTAAAGAATATGGTGTGCATTGTAAAAGAAAGCAACATGTTATAGTAATTTCTTTGACAAACTTTCACTGTTAAACAAGAAGCAGCAGGAAACAATTTGAAATCAAGATAAACATTACTTTTCTACCAGTGACACACAATGTTTGAGGCATTTGTCAAACTGATCAATAACTGAACAGTCCTGCTGAGAGCCACCAATAGACTACACACAGTTGTGGCCACTGCACTATTGAATTACACCCCATATAATAAGATTTCAGCTGCTTTCATTGAGCAGATAACTGTGTTAATGACAGACACCAGCCAGCACCCCAGCATTTTAACACTGCATTTACCACTGCAGGGGAGGAAAGATGCTGAGCACACGCTGAAACGTTAATACAAGCAGAATGGAGGCTCCCAAGCAGAATTTCAGTAAGCAAATATCCCAAGCAGAATTTCAGACAGCCATGAAATGCTTCCAGCAGGTCATACAGAGCTCTGAAGAGCAGCTTTAACCATCTAACTGCTGCCAGATGGTAGAGGGACCGCTCTATCCAAAACACCTCTTACAAACCCAGGCCGTGTGTTCAGGACTACCGAGTTAGCTTAGGCAACCACAAGTTGTATTTGACAAACCATAACTCATAGCAAAACATCTTCAGACTGTTATTTACAGAGCTCCAGCTCTAAAAGATCCTTAGTGAAAGTAGAGTTTTGCATTAGCAAAACAACATTTACAGTTTGGCCAAAACATACCCTAAAATTTCAAAAAAACAGGTGTCCCACCTGATGCTTCCCAGCAACCAGGAACACCTGGGTTCAATAAATCCATAGCTAGCATACAGTTTTCTATAGGTTCAGTCTAAACTCGTTCCAGGATTTCTCAGAGCTCTAGGCACGCAACCTGAATACATAAAAAACACTACAGCCTTTTGAGGGAACATACAGTTCCTGAAGCTAATTGCTTATGAACAAGTCATTAGTCTGCAGGTGGAAACTGTTATACAGTTATTGAAATACTCAAGAGTAACATACATGTCTCCCAGGCCATTCACCTCTGTGCATGTAACCACAGAATCCTCCCTCTGCTTCAGCAGAAATTCTCCTTACTCTTCCCCCCGGGAAGAGGGGCAGAGAAGGTGACTGTTCACACCTTGAAATATGTTTGGCCCCCAGCACATTAACCCAGGCAGTTGTAACGAGCCATTTGCTATGTTCATGTCATTTCTGCTTCTCCTTCTAATGCTTATCCTTGAGAAGAGGTTACAGATATATCAGTTTTACACTTCACCAAATAAATTAATAAAAACACTTCTTGCATTTGTATCAGATGATTATTTTGTGTCTCAGTTAACCAAGCTGTCAGCATTAATGAGCCAGCTTTCTGAACAGGGGCTGAAGAGTCAGACTAACTCATACTCACGAGGTTAAAGACTCTTTTTAAGAAAGAAAAATAAATAAATAAATCAGCAACTAGATTAGAGATAAATGTCACTAGAAAGAAAAGCCACTTTGCATCAAAAAAATATTCCCAATCATCACAGAAAGAACTAGCAGCAAGACAAATCAAACCGTGGTGTTACATAAGCTGTTCTTGACTCAGGATTGCCAGAAAACAGATTTTTCCCACTGCCGCATACCTTGGATGCTTGGGGCGTCGAAATCACATGCACGGTGCTGGGCTTAACTCCATTTGCCTTGGGTCGCTTATAGAGGGCAAATCTGCTTTTCCTGCGCCCTCTGTCACCATTAGGGAGGGAGCCATTATACCTAGAAATAAACAAATAAGTTTAGAATAAAACACCAGTAATTTGTAATACACCAAGAGAGATCAGCAGTCTGATAGTGTCAAATACACAGCCAAAAAATATAATATAAAATAAGTAACCCAGCCAGGATAAGCTGTTGCCTAGAACTCTAAATTACTTTGTGTGTTCCAGCTTTCCTTCTCCACCAACAGTTTGTTATTATTCATCATTAATACAGTCATTAACTGCAGGTAAAGCATTGAGTTTAACTACAGCAACACTTCATGTTTAGAACCAAAGGAATTTGGAAATACAAATTTAATTGTCTCCTATTTGAGAATACGTGGAGTTTTGAAAACACACAGCCCTCCCATTCCCCTCCCCACGGCTCCCACGGAAGAGGGGAGGATGAAAGGAGTCACTGCGGAAATTTAGGGGCAAGCTGCGTTCTAAGCAGGGAGAAAAAACACACAATCAAAACATCTAATCCTAAAAACTTGGTTTATTACGAAGGAAAGAGGATGCAAGAGCTTTTGATTCACGTGAATATCTTTGAAAACTCCTTAAGGACTTCCGTTATCAGGTGTAACACGATCACCTTCAACAGCGCTTTCATCTGCCTCAAAGGAGAGAGCCCCCACGGATTAGTTACCCGGAGAAGCCTTCAGCCTCAAGGGGACAGAGATGCTTCCCTAAGGAGGGAATCGCCTAGAAATTCCTTGGCAATACGTGAGCGTTGAAATCCCATCCCAAAAGAAGATTTATGAAGGGCAGGCGCCTCTCATCGCAGCAGCTTCACATACACTGCTTCTGACTGCTCTCAATTGGCTTATGTGAGATCTCTGAGGTTTTACTTTGCTGAAGAGATGCCTCTCTTCCATTCCTGATCCTCAGGGATGTCATACTTTTGCCCTAATACAGGTGTAGTTCCACCAGGCAGACTACCAAAAGGTTTAAGTGAATTATATTCTATACCAGATCATGGATATTCCCCTCCTGCAGCCTTTACAGTTAAAAGCTAACATTGCAAGGAAGAAAACCTGAAAGAGAGCGGAGAGGAAGTGTTATAGCTGCTCGGGTTCCCTGAAAAGCAAAATAAACAAACTAGGAGAGCTCGATGCCTGTTTAGACAAGTACTTGGAGTAGTTCAGCTCCACATCTACCACAGTGTCTGCAGATTAAAGGCTTTTCATCGCAGCCTCGCAGCTCGGGCTGGTTGTGAAGTTCTGTGGCAATTACAGACTAAAAAAAGGCAAAGCATTAACCTAGAATTTTACCTTTCTTCTCATTACCACTTTGCAGAGTTAGTTGACAGGTCTGTGTAAAAAGGACTTGTTCTTGGAGTTGTACTTAATAAAAATAAAACCAAAAAAGGGAACTGGAAAATAGGCAGGGGATAAACGGGGCAGTCTCCCTGCTAAGGCTCTGCAACGCTGCCCTACGCAGGGCTCACTTCAGCCTATGGCTGCTTGGTGTCATATAGGAGTAGGGCTTCATCTTCACATACACATCTTCTGAACTGCAGGACTGCCAAATATCCACAAAGATGATGTGAAATAACCTCAAATTTAAGTACTCTAGAACATCAACCAAATGTTTTGCTCTTTTAAACACATGTTTAATACATGATCCCAGAGACACCCCAGAAGTTCAGACCTTTTCATCTGGATTGCAGTCCAATTTGTTTCCCCACCTCCATTTTCATATGGGAGATTATTTCTCTCTCAAAAGTACATACGTTAAAAAAAAAGGTTCTCCAGAAGTGCAGAAAAACCGCCAGAATAAAATCACTCCAATTATTTCAAGCCATGCCTGATGGTATCTGGAAATTTAGTATTAGCCCTACACATGGAGACCATCACTACTTAACACAGTTGGTCCTGAAAACAAGAGACTAATTCCTAGGAAAAAAAAAAATAGACCAATATAATCCACAGGCAACGTAACTACAACTCCTTGATTCTGCACCCTGAATCTGAGATGTCTACAAAGGCTTTCCTTCAAAGACACTGTAACACCATGAAATATGCCAGCAAGTTTCAACTCGCCTGAAACACTGTTCTTCTACAAGTATTTCTACCTGAAAACCTGAAAAACCAATACTGCCTTAAGAAAACATATAACTAATAACATCACTAGCTTTATATTCTATAATTAGAGATTTTGCATTGTATAAAAGTTCAATAGCAGTGAATTTAAGCAGACCCATTAAAGAGTCTTAAGTGTCTCATGTTCACAAAAGGGTTATAACCAGAAAAGGCCATTTCATTTCTTTTCAGGTCTTCTGTGGGATTTAAAGATTAAAAAAAAGAAAAGGGGAGAGAAAGGAACAAGTCACTCAAGGTTAAAAGGCCTTTTAGAAACTTTAAATAGGAAGGAAATGTTAGCAAAGGAAAAGTTTAATTCTGTCCTAATCAGCACTGACAAGTTTACATGGAGTCTTTCTTTTTAATGACAATTTTTAAGTTTTGCTCTCACAAAAGGGCAGGAGGATTTCAGCGATAGTCTTGCCATTTGTTGGGCTTTAATTACAGACCTGCGAGTTTTATTTTCATCTTGCATCGGCGAAAGATAGGACAATTACTAGGCATATACCCGGGTTCTGTGCCGGGGAGGGAATATCCAGCACTCCTTTCCACACACAGCAGATGCAATGCTATTTTTGTGGCCGGGGTTTTCAGCTCGCTCACCACAAGCAAACCCTCCTCGGGGCATTTGGGCTGCCCCTTCGTTACCACTAAGGAAGGGGACAAGCTACGCAGCAAGGGAAGCAACCGCGGCATCGAGGCACCTTGTTGGCCACAGCAGGCCCTGTGGCCACCCACTCGCTCTGCAGGAGCCACCCGACCTGTTGGGTTTGTGCAAACAGGACGGTTCTTTGGGGAGCAGACCCACAGGCTTCTGCTAGCTTTGGTTTTTCTCAAGGTCCCTGCATAACTGAGCGCTGCCCGTGGACTATTCCGGGCACAGGAAAGAGCAGAGGCAAGAAGAGCCACCACAAACTTCCATCACTCAACACCGAAGGCTCAGGACTCCCCTACTACCAAGCAGGAGCATCAAAATTCAAAGGAGAAGCTCCACATGAAGTCTTCCCACAGCCCTTCTCAGCAGGCACTGGCCCACTCTCTCTCTATACCCCTCCAATACCTCTAGAAGCCTGGAGCAGCTTAAGGACGAGCAAACTTTTCAGTTCCAGTGTTACCAAGAGACAACCAGCAGCAGAAACTCTCCTCCAGCCCACTAAAAGCCTGAGCTTGAAATAGGAGAAATCAGATTTCAGAGACATCCTGCCCACGTGCAGATCTAAGTGGCCACTTCTGAAGCTCTCCAGATGTGCCTAAACATCAGAATGCCACATGTGGAAAGAGGAGCCCTGGACTTTTCAAGATGTTTCTCCATGGGAGCACTACTGGGACAAGTAGCATTCAGAAACATCCTGGGAGAATTCTCTCCTGATAGCAGTTCCTTGCAAATAAGGGAGTGGTGCTGGCATAGGCTACAGACACCATAATTAACAAAGCCAGTTTCCTACAGATTTACATGAAACAGTTGAGCATTTTGGCATATAATGCATGAGATGCAAACTCCAATTACGCTCTTTCCCATGGTTAGGGTACGTATTAAAAGCCTCTCCTCTGCAGGGATTTCCTGGTGTCTAGAAAGCAAGAAGATACATGTTCTCTCCCACAGCGCGAGCACCCTAATTTCCTCAAGTCTTACAGGAACCAGATGACTGCATGAGACACCAAAAACGTCTCAAGCTTTTCTGTGATGGCTTATTGCTTCCAGGAACCAGACGTAGCCAGTGGTAAAGAGCAGACAAGATCTGTCATTTAGGAATAAAGATAGGGAGGAAAAAAAAAGGGTGCACTTGCATGCAAACTTTTCCATGTGCACTTGACCCGCACCTAGAAAAGTCTGGTTACAGCTGAGGGACCCTGTCCCAATATTTAGGGGAGCAACTGCTGGATGCCACACACAGATGCTTCATGCAGTCGATTTTTATAATGCTATGAAAATAGGAAATACCATAAAACTTAGGCAGCTTTATACCTATACAGCCCAAGAGACTACAAACAGGTAATTTTCATAGGTCCCTTTGCCCCAGGCAAAAAGGAGTGAGGTCACTTTGCTTTCTTCAGCGACTGCTAAACACATCTATGCACACAGTGTCACGTATGGATGCAAACCATCCCATTTCACAAACCCAACTTTGAACACACTGCAAGCTACAGCTCAGCAGTTGTAATAATTCACTGAAGTCTGACTTCAGATTGAAAGTTTTTTCCTCCTAAGCACTTTCTGCTTCTCCATTTGGTATCACACCATAGTGTATCCTCGACACACACCAGAACAACAGCTTGTGCTTACCCCATATTTTCACCATCCCTGAGCAGGTGAGGCCAACACTGCTGCCAAAAACAGCAATTTATTTTTTCGTTGGCTACTTTGTTCTGGTGCTGTTGCCTCTTTCTCTGGTTCACATGAATGGAAACAAAACCAGACTTATTTTTCAAGTTTGAAACCACATCAATTCATTGCTCTCTGTTTCACTGCGGTGCCAGAGAAGCACTTTTATCACCAACAAGGGCAAAAATTGCAGAGAGGGCATGAAAGATTCCTTTGGTAGCACTGCAAGGCTATGGGTATCCCAATACCTGCAACACGGGCTGCCCAAAGCTCTGTTATTCACCTTGGCAACATCCAAACTCGGAGCTTTTCACAGGCATAGGATAAAGTCCCAACTAATTGGGAAGCCCTCTTCTCCTTAAAGAGCCATCATTTACTCCCTTGAAAACAAACCGAAAGGAAAAAGGCCTCAAAAGTTTCTCAAAATGCAAACAAAAACCCTCTAACACGTGGAAAACTGACATAAATCTCTGAACAGACACCTACTTTTTGGGTCGTATCACTGCCACCATTTCACACTTTGCCCCCCTTGCTCATCTCTGTTCATAAGGGACAGTTCATTTCTTAGAGATTTATTATGTCAGGAAAGTAACCTGAATGTTTTGGATTATT